GAAGGCAGCTTCTGTGGCCCTTGTAACGCTCCCAATGGGAGGTTAGTTTCATATATAGGTACTGAGCGAGAAAGCAAGAGAGAGAGAGAGAGGTTTAAACATGTAGTCATGCTCAAACTGCAACGAAGAAAGGCCACATGCCTATATAGATTTATATTCTCGTGTAGAATTATTCCTGTGATATAACTAAGAAGTGTGTGCGAGAGAGAGAGAGAGAGGGTTTAACGTTTAAACGATAAAAGCCAACCAAGCAAAATGCTTCTATGCAAACTGTTAATATGCGAAACTGGTCGAGTTTTCTTTCTCCCATGGGTGAAACTTTTCATACAAGAGAAAGCTTTTAAAATTTATATACAACTTTGCCGATCTATCACTTCTAATTACAATCAGGAATGAAGTTTCTTATTATTTTTATTTTCTTCTTTTTCAATATTTAAATATACACTTTCATCGAAAATTTACATGATAAATTTATGTTGATAGCAAAAAATTTTTTTTTTTAAATTATTACGGAATATTCCATTCGCATTCCGGGATTATTCCATTGGAATAATTGGAATGAATATTCCATTGGAGTATTTGGAATATTTCTAATAAATACTCTATTGGAGTATTTGGAATAATTCTAAAAAATATTTCACTGGAGTATTGATACATTACTAAAGAATATTCCATTGGAATATATGGAATATTTCATTAAAATATTAGATATATTCTTATAGAACCTAGTAAATATTTCTAATAAATAATATTCCATAGTATGGATGGAATATTCCATGAAAATATTCCCAATGTAAGGGAATATTACATGAATATAATATGTGTTATTGGATTATATAATTTTTTTTATTCGGATCAGAAAATTTTTTTTAATAATAATAGTAATAAAAAAAATTGTTTTTCTCTCCGGAAATAATTTTTGTCTCAATGACTCGAACACCAAGGTTTGATTACAAATACAATAAATTGCAGAAGCAAAAAAAAAAAAAAAAAGGAAACAGATTCATTAAGAAAATTCGATAATCAATAAAAACAGAAATTAAATCATTTTGTTGGATGAATAAAAAAAAAATGCATTCAAATATCTTGCTGACAATGCAATCGAATAAATCACAATTGTTGACAAATGAGAGAGCGTTACCCTCTCATAAAAAAAAAATGAATAGTCGACGACAGAAGTTGAGAGACACGCTTTGAACATTCTGATGATAAGTCAAATACAAAAAGTTTTTGTTTCTTTCTCTATTTTTTTTTTTTTTTTTTTTTTTTTTTTTTTTTTTTTTTTTTTTTTTTGGTTCTATAATCTAATGCGTGTGCGATTATCACTGATGATAGGGCACGCAAAGAGCAACTTTAATGAAGCTTACTTTATTAAATTCCACGAAAAAAAAGAGCAATGACCGGAAGTTGTTGACAGAGTCATAAAACACCTGTCATTCACTATTAATTATTTTAAGTATTATAATTAAAATAATTCAATGTCATCGTACAGTAAAAGGAAGACAAAAAAATTTATCTTAGATTTCATATATAAAAAAAAGTGGAAAATTCCAAGACATTTCAAGAATATAAATGAAATATTCCAGGAATATAAACAAAATATTCCAAGAATATAGATGAAATATTCCAGGAATATATAAAAAAAATATTTTAGGAATATAAATATAATATTTGAGGAATGTACAAACAGAGAAAGTATTCCAAGGAAGAATGAAATATTCCAGGAATGTAGATAAAATATTCCTTACTATCGTTATTAGAAAAGAAGATTCAAAATAACTTAATTGAAGAATTGAAAGCAATGAAACTTTGGAAGATTTTAAAATTAATTTTAAAAGTGAATTCGTCTTAAAATTAAACGCCTTTCAAATAATGTCGATTCGACGACTGCTTAAAAATTTAATTATAAAAGTGAGTTTTCAAAGTGCACAACTTTGAAGTTTTTTATTTGAAGCCAGAAAAGTTGGTTTGAGAAAGAGAAAGAGAGAGTGAGAGAGAAAGACAAAAAACCCGGTTTGGTCACGGTCTGAGAAGTCCTTGAATCTCTCTCTCTCTCTTTCTCTCTGAGAAAAAAAAGAGAGAGAAAGAGAGGGGGGGGGGAGAAAGGTTCCAAAAGGGTTGGTCTGAGTACGTACTCTGTTGGCTTGTAAGGAATGCGTTTACGAATCGAGGCAAAAGAGAAAATCTGTGCTGTTGAACAAACGAAGCCCAAGCTTCCTTTGGCAAAGGAAGTATTAAACGGGCTTCCACTTATGCTCGTTTTCCCTTTCTCCTTTCTTCTTCCAATACTAAGGGAAAAATAGAAAAAGGTACAACTGGCTGGCTTGCAGCTGGTGTACCATGAGTCTCAAACTGGCAAGATGAAGTTAGTTTCGAGTTTTATAAAAGTAAAGATAAGAAAAGACTCGAAAGAACAACTCCTTGAGAGAGAGAGAAAGAAAGAGTAAAAAAAACAACATTCCATAAAAAGAAAATAAAGAAAAAGAAAAAATGTTTCAGACTAAAATCCGCACAGCCTGCAAACACCATTTACTTTTCTTGTACACGTCAAATATAATAATGTTTAAATTCAAGATTCTCGACACTCTATTATATACTGAGATAATATTTTCTTTTTTTAAATATTTTATTGGATTATTCAAAAAAAATTTCCATTTTAATAATTTATAATAATTTTATTAGAATACTTCTAGAATTTATTGAAATATTCGTAGAATAATTTATTAGAATATTTGTGGAATATGTTACTGGAATATTTGTGAAATATATTGGAATATATAATATATTCCCATAACATTCCATTTAAATATTCCCACAATATTCCAAATATAATATTCCTACACTATTCCAAAGAAACCATCCAAATGTGTGAAATATTCCTGGAATATTGTTAAATTCCTAATATTCCAATAGAATATTTCAGGAATATATAAGAAATATTTTTGTCCCGATAGTTGGCAAGAAAATATTTATAATAAGCAATAATTTTTTTGTGGATTATTTAAGGAATTTTTTTTAATCCAAAAAATTCCAATTTTTAATTACTAATCAGGAATATCAATATCAATTTTATTATAATTATTATTTTAAATATTATAAAATTTTCAGATAAAGTAAACGAACAGAGAATAATCTATTGTTTGAAATCGTTTGTCAGGACAACAGAGCGCACTCTGGTGCATAATTTATGAGCATTCGTAATATTTGGTTACTGTATAAATTTCACTTTGGTGCATGTCACATGATTTTGAACAACTATAGCAGTCGAGCTTTGTTCAAACATTAATCGAAGGAGTTCTGTGTTTTATTGTTACAACAGTGTATGTTTGAATCATTTGAATAAAATAAACGTTTGCATTTAACAAACTTAACAAAAGATTTTCTAATCATTGAAAACAATAAAAATATTATAAATTATTATTGTTATACTACAAAAATATTTTTCAATAATTTAATTGTAAATAAATAAATTAATTGATTAATTAAATAATAAATTAAATATATATATTCTAAAAATAAAGAGTTCATTCCTAAAAAAATTTATTAGAATTTTGGGAATATTTAAAAGAAATATTCCATCCATTGAATATTTTTCAATTGGATTAAAATTAGACTATAAAGAATATTTTTTTGTACATTCCTCATATATTTTATTAGAAGTTTCGGAATATTGAAAAAAAATATTCCATACATATTCTTGGAATATTTAATTTTAATTTAATATTTCAGGAATATTTTTAGTATTCCTGAAATAGTATTTTTCAGTATTATAATTTTCATAATGTTTATAAAATTTCAATGTAATAATATGAAAAATATTACAATGAAACATTTTAGTGTCTAATAAATAAGTTATTAGCAAAATTATTCATGTAGAGAACAAATAGAATATTATCAAGACCTTTGTATTTTCATTAATATCTGTATTTATTTAATATTTGCTTGTAATTCTCTAACAGATGAAAAGCAGAAAGGTTTTACTAATTATTCGCATTATATTTGAAAATATCAAGTCCATTAATGTATGTTTCATATTAATTAATTACTGAATTTGTATTTTCTAAAAGTAAATATAATTTTATATATATATATATATATGAACATGAGTGGTCAATGTAGTAATACGCGATTATCATCACACAACATATATATATATATATATATATATATATATATATATATATACGAATTTCCGGTCTCGAGGATAATAACAAAGTTATGGATTTTAATATACACACTAACCATTTTAATTAACGATATTTGTATTGGTTTAGATATTCAGTGGTACAACTCGAGTAAAGTCAAACATATTAAAACCATTAGAATTTAGCATAATATATAATAGTTTACTTAAGAAAAATTTTATCCCCCCACTCCTGAAAAAAATAATCAAATATTTGCAATTTTTAAATTAATTAACTTGTATTAATAGTTAATTAAAAAATAAAATTTAAAAAAAGTAATAAAAACCAATAGTTGTGAGACAAGTTGTAAATGCATAAGAACAACGAAATCAGTAGTAATGGCCGATTATAGTCAGACCACCTGACATATACAATCACCAGTGGTAAAGTTCGATAATAGTCAGACGTAAAATATATTCTCTAAACTTTCTATAGGCAGTATTTAAAATTCACATCTGTGAGATGATAATAATAAAATAATTCTTACTGTAATATTTATGGAATATTCCACTATAATAATTCCAATATAATATTCCTATGTAATATTTCATAATATTCCTATGTAATATTTTATAATATTCCTATGGAATATTTTATAATATTCCTATGGAATATTTCATAATATTCCTATGTAATATTTTATAATATTCCAATGGAATATTTAGTAATATTCCTGTCGATTAAATTGAATTTTTAAGTAATTTAAATTTAATTATTATTATTAATAATTTATCTGAATTTAATTTTTGTTTTTCAAGAGAGATTAAATTTTTTAAAAACTATATTAATTATTAAAATAAAATAAAAATCACTTACAGTGCATCTCAATGCCAATGGAAGCTGATACTGGTTGGCTGATGTTATTATTGGATGCCTGACATGTAAACACAGCATGGAGATCCTGCCTGGAGAGATTTGGGATGAGTAGTGTGTTTCTACGTAGATCAGGGAATTCGCCAGGACTGTCCTTAGAATCCAATAACACTTCACCCCGCCACCATCTGACCGTGGGAGGTGGTCGACCTGGAAATTTCGAACTCGTGAGTAAATAGGCCTTTAGGCTATATAGTTGTTGGGGAATGAGAGAAGGGGGGGGGGTGAGGAGTGGAGTTTAAGGGGGCCACACCAGTCACTTATAACATGTCAGATACACTCTATATACATATAGGTATATGTATAGGTTCTCGTTAATTTATAATTCATAATGGTGTTGTTGCGTGCAAATAATTCCCGTTAAGAGAGTAGCATATATAAACAACCCAGGAATGTCAGGAAAAAATAGCTTATATCTAACGTGACCTCATCATTTTTTGTTTATGGATCCATTTTCATCAACTAGTAAAAAAAAACATATTAAAAATATTAAGAATATTAAAGATTTATTTTTTATAATATCCAATAATTAAATTTCTTTTTTAATAATCTATGTTCTTGGAATATTCAGGAATTTGAGTAGAATATTTTATATTTTTAGGAACTTTTTGTCCTTAATTTCACAAAGAAATATTTAATTTATAATATCCAATAATATTTGCAGGAATATTAAGGAATATTTGGAATATATAATATTTCAAGAAATATTCAATTAATAATATCTAATATTCCAAGGAATATTTTAAATATATATATTATTCTAGATAATATTTTTAATGTACATTACTCAATAGAAATTAGCAAGAAATATTGGATTATCTCATATTATAATACAAAATTGAAAATTTAGTAATTACTGAATTTAATATCAAATTGAATATTAAGTATTTCATTTTACTTGTGAATTATATTTATAAGCTTTCTCTCTCTCTCACGATGATGACTTCTGTTAATATGTCGTCGCGATCTGCACCAGTTTCGCATAACCAAACGTTCAACTGATGATATGCTGATAAAGATAAATTTATTATCGCTTTACTGCCACGACGTCATCTCCAGCACCCCGACCGGAAATTAAAATGTAATCCAATCTGAGAGACGTGCACGTGAAGTTAGGCTCAAAAGAGAGTGCCATCCACCTAATTATCATGTTACGTGTCATGATATTCCCCTTGGAAGATTTCTCTCAATTTTTTTTTCTTTTTTTTTGGATGATATTGCATTTTTAGTGTAAAGGCAAAAAAATCAATATATGCATCTTGAAAAATAGATGTAATTACGTTAAAATAAATTTTTATTCCAAAAAATTTCGCAATATTTGTTACAATATTCCATAATATTCCAAAAATATTACACAATATTCCGTAATATTTCAATTATTCCAAAAATATTCCCAATATTCTGTGATATTAAAAAAAATTTTATAAAATGCTCAAAATATTCCACAAAATTCCAAAAATATTCCCCATTTTTTTTAAATAATAATAATAATTAAAATAAAAAAGTAGAAGAGAGAAACAACTTACCACCGGAAACAAGACATTTGAGTTCCATATTTCCGCCTTCTTGATATGGTCCAGCAACTGTTGGCACAGTTTTTCCATATTCGTCAATGATATTTGGTTTATGTGGTGGCACTGCAACAGGCAAAATGAGAAAAGCAATTTTATTACAAGCGAATATTGTTTTGAAGAGAACGAGAGAGGGAGAGAGTTTATCTCGTGAGTAATATCAAAGCTAAGGTTGTAAACAGTTATTAAACTTAAACCTAAGGGTAGACATAGTTTCATAAAGGGAAAATCACATAGGCAAGCAAGAGCAGATGCAAACTTGAATGTAATTGTGCAAATGTTCCCAATATATACAGAAAGATTATTTCTCCGACAGAAATTAATTCACTTCCCTCAAGCGTAACTTACTATATTTCTCCAGATATTAATTAATTATACTCAAAAATATTACTAAAATACATCCTCACATTATGCGTAAATATATTAAAAATTATTATTTACAGATGAATAAAATAATTTTTTTTATATATTCCAGAAATATTCCTTTGGAATAAAAGAATATTTTAACAAAATAAGAAATATTACATCTAAACATTGGAATATTGTATAAATGGAATATAGTATAAATATATCCAAATGGAATATTCCCATCAACATTCCATTTGAATATTCCCCATAACATTCCAAATGTACGAATCAAAGAAGCAGCTTTTAAATATTCTTCGAATATGGATAGAATATTTCTTTTTAGTATATTTTCAATGTTTCACTGAAATATTCCAGAAATATGAATTGAATATTCCGTGCTACTGCTCATAATATTTCTACAAAAAATATTACAATATTTCATTAAATTTTACGTCAAAGATTACGAAATAAATGATTGAATTAAAAAAAAAACTAACACATTGTAAAAGAGAAGCGTGACATTGATAATAAAAGTTGATAAGAAATTATATTATCGAATAGTAGTAGTATTATTAATGAAGAGAGAGAAAGACAGATAATTAATGGAGTTCCCAGTTTTTCAGGCTCATTAGTCTTTCTTTTGTCAATTATTTACTTTCTTTTTTTTTGAGGGTTTAAAGACGAAGGGGGATGAGGGGGGCATTTGAATTTGCGAATATATGGCAGTGGTTGTGGGCGTACTGCGATTGCAGTAAGATAGGGTGATGATGGAGCACGATTTTCAGACCCTCAACTCATCAACAGGCTCTTTGGTCTCAAAACGAGCAAAAACAGTTAATTGGCTCAATGAGGAGTTGGGTCAGAGAGAGAGCGAAAGAGAGACAGAGAGAGACTGATCTCGATGTTGTCAGAAAATGCACGAAATTTCGCTGTTTGAAATATTAAATTTAATTCATAAAAAAAAAAATCTTTTCACTTAAATTTAATAACTTATGGAACATTCCCTTAGAATTTGACAAAAAAATATATTAATATTTCAAAAATTTTATTATTCAACTAATTTCCTAAAGAAAATTTAAAAATTATTCTGTAATATTTCAAAAATACTCCATGATATTCCAAAAATATTACTTAATATTCCGTAATATTTTAATTATTCCAAAAATATTCCATAATGTTCCAAAAAATTTCTTAATATTGTAAGAATATTCCATAATATTCCAAAAATGTTACACAATATTTCGTAATATTTTAATTATTCCAAAAATATTCCATTAAAGTTCCAAAAAAATTTCGTAATATTATTAGAATATTCCATAATATTCCAAAAATATCACACAATATTCCGTAATATTTCAATTATTCCAAAAATATTCCATAATGTTCCAAATATTCTATGATATTACAAAAGATTTCGTTTTATCCTTAGAATAATAATAAAAATATCTAAAATTACAAATAGAGCAACTATGTAAACGATATATGAACTTAATTATAGGAATATCGTTATTTTCCCCTTTTGGTTGTATATTATTAAAAAAAAAGTCTAATGATGATAGATTTTACCTGTAATCACGTCAAAACAAAATTCAACTTAATCTGCGAGCTACAAGTTTTCTACACACAGTTCTTTTTATATGGCAATTGCATGAAGAGGTTGGTAATGTTCGCATAATGCCTGATTTCCATTTTATTCGCACTCCATTAAAGTAGAAAAGAGAGAGAGAGAGAGCTTGATGCCTTTCTCAAGCCGTCATTAAAAAAGAGTTGTGCACTTTTATAGTGATTGCATGCACGTGTAGAACCGAAATATATATAAACGTTGATTGGCAAAGTCATAAATCAATGTCGTTCATGGATAAATTGTTACAAGAAAAATACTTTTCTATATAAATATACATTTTTTTAATTCTGTATTGAAGTGAAATTTAAAAATGTATTTGTAACACATACAAAAACTTTCAACTAATAATAATTTCCCTCATAAAAATGTTGGCTGATTGTATAAAATGTGTGTGTGTATGTATGTATGTTATTATAAATGAAAAGAAACGTCTAGCGAAAATTACTCTCTCGAGCTTTGGGCGGGTGGAATTCAAATGAGAATTTCCGGTTGTTGACATTAATCTTCTTTTCTTATGAATTTTATTCCCTTATACATTTATTATAAAGAAAATAAAGTGATTCTTAATTTTTTAACGTAATATTTATTTTTACATCAATGATTTCATTTTTTTTACACTTGCAAATTTGCGAAATTTTTTTTCCAACAGCAGTGGAATATTCCATTCACATTCCTGGAATATTACTTTGGAATGTTTTTAATATTTATTCCATTAAAGTATTTGGAATATTGCTAATAAATATTCCATTGGAATATTGGAAATACTTTAGGAATATTCCATTAGGATATTTTGGATATTTTTTTGGAAATATTCAATTGGAATATTTTGGAAATACTTTCGGTATATTCCATTGGAATATTTTGGAAATACTTTCGGTATATTCCATTGGAATATTTTGAAAATACTTTCGGTATATTCCACTGGAATATTAATATTAATATCATTTGGAATATTATTTATTAGATTAGAAAAAAAACTAAATAAATATTGAAGAATTTAGAAAATGGAGAAACAATTTAATTTTTTTTTATTAAATTTAAACGCAACGTCGTCACATAATAAAATAAAAATATCATCGCATATTAATTTATTATTATTGTCAAAACTGCGTATTTAAAAATATGAAAATCATGCGTTTTTTTCTAAAGCATTATTTATATAATGTTCCCTTTGGAGAGGAAAATTAGTATAAAGGAACAATAATTTACGTTAAGGACAATAAATAAAGCTCTAGTCGTGATAAAGGGTTGAAAAAGTAATTATCGTTAATTATCAATCTTAATTATAAAGCTTTAGCCAAAGTGATACCCTAATTCAGTGCTTAGGACAAAACTTTAGATCTCTAATGTTAGTTGTTCGTGACTTAAATCCACTTTAATGGCTTTCAATTCTGTGACAATAATTTTTTTTTTCTTCTATTTTTTCTTCTTTTTTTTTCTTCATATTTACCTTGAAAAATCTTTTCATACACATACACACACATGAAAGAACAATAAAATAACAAAGAATAATATATATTATATCTCTATTTCAATATCTAAAAATACTTTCTTCTTTTATCGTGGTATATATATGTATAATATAGAGAGCAAAAAAAAAAATAAAATAGAAACGTGTCACGAATTTTAATCGTAAATTCTCTCTCAGAAAATGAGCTACTGCCTCTCACGCACAATAAAGAATTTAATCATAAAAGCGTTGAGGTTAAAATTATTAACATTTCTTTCATGCTTTTAATATTTTTATCACTTTAGTGCTTCAAATTAATTTAAGTCTATAAATACTGTCTTGTATTATTTTTCTCACTATCTTTTATTTTTTTTTTTTTTTGCAAAAACTTTTTAGAATTTTTAATTTCATTTAATGAAATGCATATTTTAATTAATTTACAAATGTATTTCTGAGTTATTAGTTATTGTGAAATTAATTTATTAGTAAAATTAATTAATTAATTAATTATTTAATTATGTAATTTAATTTAGTAAATTTTTAAATATTTCAAGAATATTAAAATATTAAAACATTTTATTGGAATATTCTGGGAATGTTCCATTTAGATTGTTTTGGAAACATTTAATTGGAATACTTTTGGAATATTCCCAATGAAATATTCCTTTATTGTTTTATTAAATGGAATATTCCCTTTTGTATATCTAATGTTCTAATGGAATATTAAATGGAATTAAACATTCCTATTTGGAATATTCTTTTGTTTTAGTATATTCCTAATCTTCGAATTTTTATATTCAATATGAATGGAATACATTCTCTTTTGTCTATTCCTAATGTTCTACAGGAATATTAAATGGAATTAAATATTCCTAATTTGAATATTTTTTTGCTTTGGTATATTCCTAATATTCTAATTCAAATATTCCAGGAATGTGAATGGAATATTCCCTTTTGTATACAAAAAAATATGAGAAAAATTGAAAAGCAAATAAAATATAGTTTTTTTGTTGAAGCATGCTAATAAATTTTAGCAGGAATTCATTTGACGTAAATGAAAAACATATTCTCGTGGTTGTAAGAGGTTAAACTCCCAAAATTACCCCGCACACAATATATACAAATATATATTGTAGAGTAAGTTTCTAGCCTCGGCCCACTCGCGGAGAATTAATTGTCTGTAATGGGATCGTGCCAATTAGCTATGTGGGGGTGCGTGTAGAGGTGCACTTAGGAAGTTATTCCCTCGACCTTCTTCCGCGCTCTATTCCTGATAAGGCGTTAGGGTACAAGAAACACAAGTATCGAGTGAGAAACGAGGTATTTATACACTATCGTGCGTGCATCGAGATTCGCAGCAAAAGAGAGCAACCAAAACTGTCGAGTTGTCAAAAAAAAACTATTCTCAAGTCCAATGGAATATTTTGTAATATTCCACAAATTTGGAATATTTAACTATATTTTTTTATATTCCCTGATAGAAAAAATATATTCCAGGAACCTTTTGAAAAATATATTTAAAGGCTTTAGAAATATTTAAGGAACATTTTTAATAAATAATTCATAAATATTTGTTTGGCTTATTCAAAAATTTAGCCTTAATAATTCCTTATTTAATAAAATATTCCTAATATTCCACGGAGGGATATTACCAATATTCCAATGAAATATTAAAGAAATACCTTTTGAAATGTTTCATAAGAAGTTGTTTTATCGAAATTCATTGGAAAAGTTCACATACACACACACACAGAAAGACACTTTCAAATGCACCACTTATTTAAAAGTACCTATAAAGGCAAAACAGTTTCAATTTACGTGGAAAAGAATTGAATAAGTGGTGCATTTGAAATGAAAGGAGGAGAGCGAGGGAGAGAGGGGGGGGGTGAAAAGTACTAGTGTAAAAAAAGTGGATTATCAAGAGTTCTAAAATATTGACGATGAGCTTAAACTCGATGGTACGACGTGTTTTCCTATCGAAAATGAAAATTATTGAGGGCGTTAATATATTGGAGGAAAAAAAAAGTTGTTAGTAGTGAGAGAGAGAGAGAGAGAGAGAGAGAGAAAAAAAAATGAGAGAGAAAGTGAGATCAGAATGAGAATAGCAAACAGAGCGAATAAAAGTGCAATCGAATGTGTACATTATTATCTAGGATCAAGGGGGCTTAACGTCCCTACACTATATCGATTGGCCTAGACTATTGACGACATTCTCATTTCTCTGAAAAATACCCGGAGGTAGATAATATCAATGTTTATTAAACTGCATTTTTACCTTTATAGAACCAAAATCCTTTTTTCTATCTATGATAACAAAAGAAAAAAACCAATATAGTTCATTTTCACTTCGTTTTATGAATTTTCAAAACAAAATTTACAATAATCCAAAAAAAAGATGATTTACTTTCTTTTTTTTAAACTCATTACAAAATAGTAGAGAAAAATACAGATATTCTATTTTTTACCCGAAAAGCATGGAATATTCCATTCATATTCTAGGAATATTTTATTGGAATATTAATAATATTTCTAAGGATATTACAGTTACATTCCTGGAGTAGTCCAGTCGAATATTAGAAAACTCATAATGATATTACACTCACATTCCTAGAATATTCCATTGGAACATTGGAAATATGCCTAAATATATTCCATTCACATTAGTGGAATATTCCATAAGAATATTCCTAAAGATATTCCATGCACATTACAGGAATATTCCTAAAGATGTTCCATGCACATTACAGAAATATTCCTAAAGATATTCCATTAGAGCCCTAAATGTTAGGAATATTTCTAATGGAAAGCATGACTGGAATATGAATCGAATATTTTTTGGTATATTTCCAATAGTCCAGTGAAATATTACAGGAATGTAAATGGAATATTCCAGTTCTATTGATAATATTTTTTCATAATTAAACAAAATTTCTATTCTTTGATAGGAAGTATGAAATAATTGTTTATTTTTTTTGAAATCTATATTAACTTCCTTTCTATCGAATAAAAAAAAATACATTAAATTTTTTTCTCTTTCTTTTTCTCCTTGATTTTCGTCCACTTAAGGAAGAAAATTTCCTTCTTTCTTAATTCGATTGAAAGAAAAGTGACACCACTTGAACGACACGAATGAAAGAACTTAATCGGTATGATCGACACTTTTGAAACTAATGTAATAAATATCAGTGAGAGAGTGTCATTTTGAAGGAAGCTTTAAAATAATTAGTCATTAATGAGGAGCAAAAGAATTGGACCTTCTTCTTCGTAAAGAAGATAGGGTCAACAAGAAGACTATAGACTGTAAGCGGCCAAGTCTTAATGAAAAAATAAAAAAATAGAAAAAAAAGTAGAAAGAGTGGGAAAGAAGTGGTGGTGGTGGTGGTTCAGGGTAGTGAGAACCTTTCTACAGAATCTCAAGAGTAACGAGCTTTTTCTTCGAAAGCTTCTTAAGAGCACCGCCTTAGCACGGCTCGAAGATTTGACTCTAGTTCAAACGGCCAACGGTGAAAGCGAAGGAGCCCAAGGGAAAAAGAGGATGCTAAAATATAAGTCGAAGGGAAAAAAAGGGAAACGTAACAGAGAGAGAGAGAGAGAGAGAATTCCTACTACTACTACTACTACTATTACTAAGAAGGAAAAAAATAGACGAGTCGTGCTTCTTGACTTTTCATTGAGTCTTAACTTTTATTCTTCGTTTCAATTACGTTCGCTATATTTCTTTGAAAAAAAAAATCATTTTTACTGGTCTTTACAGTTCGTTTGCAATTTTATTAAAATTGAAAATCGATAATTTTCAGCCTCTAGATTCGTTTGGTTATATATATTTATTGTAATTTAATGTTTGATCTTCTAATTTTATACTTCATTTCCACATAAATTTTTTTTTACAAAATTTTATGTGTATTTTTTATATAGTATAGTAAAGATTTTATTAATTTATTGATGTATTTATTTTATTGATATTGAATATTTTACATTAATGAATATTTTTGGAATACTTCAATGAAAATTTTTGGAATATTTTAGGAATACTTCGAGAAATATTTTAGGAATTCTTTAAGAAATATTTTTGGAATATTATGGGAATACTTTTGGAATATTTTAGGAATACTTTAAGGAATACTTTGGGAATATTTTAGGAATACTTTAATGAATATTTTTGGAATATTATAGGAATACTTTGAGAAATATTCTTGAAATATTTTAGGAATATTTTAATAAGGAATACTTTAAGAATATTTTCGAAATACTTCAATGAATATTTAGAGAATATTTAAAACATACTTTAAGGAATATTTAAGGAATGTTTTTGGAATATTATAGGAATACTTTAGGAATATTTTAGGAATACTTTGGGAATATTTTAGGAATACTTCCACGAATATTTTTGGAATATTATTGGAATACTTCGAGAAATATTAAAAGAATTAAATATATTTAAAAAAATAATAAAGATAAAAGTAGTAGAAAAGAAGCAAGTTCTCGTGTTTTTTTTCGGGAGAAAAAAAAACTAAGAGAAAAAAATGCGAGCAACGATGTGGCCTTGAATGTGGAGTACTGTCTAAATATTGAAAGGCAAGGAGAGTACAAGGAGAGGAATTGTTTGCGGCGTTGAATTTTAGAAAGACAGTGAAAGGGTCAGCTTGATTGATAAGGGTCTAACGGAAAAGGATGTAGGTAGCAGAGGAAGGATGTTAAGGGATGAAAGCTTTAAAGAGAGAGAGAGACAAAAGTAGAGATATAAAAAGTAGAGAAAGACAGAGACAAAAAGTAAAGTGAGAGAGAGAGAGAGAGAGAGAGAGAGAGAGAGAGATGGGGGTATATAGGAAGAGAGAGTATAGTTGTTGAACTAGACCCCACAATTTTCGTTTACGGACGAGATAGAAGAGTACTCTGTCTCTAAAAGCTGCGGAGTTAAGGCAGAAAAGCAGGGGCGGGAATGCCGCACGTAATACATGTGGGTGGCAAGTGAACACCTATATATAGCGCATTGCGCCACGCGGAGTCGTTTAATGAGCCGGAAAAGTGGCACAGCTCCACCCTCCTCTCTACACAGGAAGCAAGACATTAATGGTGCTGAAGTTTGAGATCTGGAAAAGCGTTCGCTTATTTCCCGCAAGGGAATATGCAAACTTTTCACAGCAAACATCATCCAACCTCCATCATTTCACGATTTACATTTACAAATATAAATATATATATATACAAACTTTTCTCCCTCTGATGCCTGTCAGTCAAGTAATATAATAAAACAATAATTTAAAAATAATTGACTAGAATTTTGACAATGAGGTATATTTTTTAATATTCAAATTTAATATTTAAGGAATGTTCATTTGCAGAATAATTTATAATAATTCCAAAGGAATGTTCCAAAGGTCAAACATTTTAATATTCCTGTAATATGTATGGTATATTCATTTGGAATATTCTAAGAATGTTTTGGAATATTTAATACTATTGGACAATATTCTTTGAAGTATAATTCTTTGGAATATTCTTTGGAATTGTATTGTAATATTCTTTTGGAATTTTATTGTAATATTCTTTTGAAATATTTTTTTTAAATATACAAAAAAAAATCTTTTAAAAATTAACTCACCAATAATGACAAGTTGAATTCGGGAATTTCTCGTAGGACTTTTCGTAAAATCCACCCTACACCTGTACTCTCCCTCGTCTTTGTCGTCAATATGATTAATATTCAAAGATGCTGGTTCAGTTGCAGTTCGAAAATACGCACGATCCTTTAGATATTCCTCTTTCCAATGTGGACTCTTCTCAGAATGTTTCCCTCTCATGTCAAAACTGAAACAAACAAACAAATAATCGTTTTATAATAACTAATTATATAATTATTATAATGCATTTTTATGCAATTAGAGATTATAATTATTATATTATATTGTTTAATTTCTTTATATATTTTGTACTAAATATTACGTGAAAAATAGGGAATTTTATAAAATTCCATGAAATGTTTAAGCAGGCATTGCAAATTCAACTATAGTTATTAGCAAGAGACCGTATATGCTAAGCCTTTCGAGTTCTCTACATTCGAATTTTTAGTAATCTCTCGTATTGTTCTCCATGTACAATGGCGAATAAACGACGTGAAAGGACCCTCAAGATTCCCTTCGGATTCTCTCTCTCTCTCTCTCTCTCTTGCTTTGGGAACGAACGTATATTGTAATTTCCGCTTCATACGATTCCACTGGGAGAGACTTGAATCTCAAGGTCTTGAATATTGTTTGAAATTGTAAACGTGGGGTTCGCCAAAAGTCGCTGAGGAAGATTATTAGTTCACGATAACACGAAGCAATATGCGTATATGATATTAACTTGGCTTTTTTTGGGTAAAATTGCATCTACATGATATCTATAGAAATTGTAATGGACGAAAATGTCATTAAATTATAACGTATATTGCTTACAATTAATTATATAGCATTCCTAAATATTCCATTATAATATTCTAAAATATTCATTCATAATATTCCCCAATATTCCATTAAAATATTATGAAATATTCTACCACAATATATCCAAATATTCCATTATAATATTTCCAATATTCCACTATAGCATTCCCTAATTTTCCATTATAGTATTCCCATATATTCCACTATAGTATTCCTAAATATTCTTCTATAGTATTCTTAAATATTCTACTGTGATATTCCTAAATATTCCATTAAAATATTTCCAAACATTCCACTATAGTATTGTCTAAATGTTTTCAAATTATTTTACAAATATTTGAATATAAAATATAATGACTATAGAAAAACATACTAATTGAGGAAGTATACCTTCCTTGAAACTTACTTTTGAAAATTGCGTCATCATCATTATCACTATCGTTATAGATAGTAGCAAACAATCGATAAATGTAAATATTTAATTATAAAAAAACATATTTCATATAAAACAAAGCCCAAAAGAAACAGAACATTTCAATTAATTATAATTAATTAGTAGGTAATAAGTCATATAAATTTCAAAACTAACTTTTTTTAATACAAAAATAAAAAATATTATTATTATTATTATTATTGTTATTATTCTAATTACTATTATTTATTACTATTAATATTGTTATTATTATTGTTAAAAATTTGATAATTATAATTTATTACTTAATGAACAAAATAAAAAGAAAGATAAAGAAAAAAATGTTTTTTCTTTCTTTTTTTTTTATAAAATCAATGACCTTTTTCGAGAGAATGTTGTAGTTTATGGCATGAGATTTACTCGGTAAATCTCAGTAATAAAACTGAACTAAAACACACAGTATTTTCTCTCAGTTCACAATATATAGAGCCCCTATTTCGAGAACTTCCTGTAGCAGGATAATGCCACCTATTTTCCTTTATATGTTTTGTTACAAGTCTTTTTTCTTTACCCGTGTGCCTTATCTAAAAAGTGTGACTGATTTTACACTCTGATAAAAGCGCAACGAAAAGGCAACTTTATTACTTCATGGAATTCAACTAGCATCAATTTACATATCTGCAAATAAAGTGAATTGAAGATCATTTCTCGTACATTATTCTATCATTCAATATTTAATTTCAAACAGCACGTAATATTTCATTCACATTTCCTCGTGAATATTCCATTGGAATATTGGAAATATAGTAAAGGAATATTCCTTCTATATTCCATTGGAATATTGGAAATATAGTAAAGGAATATCCCTTCCATATTCCATTGGAATATTGGTAATATATCAGAGAAATATTTTATTGGAACACAGAAAAAATATGGTGTTATTTTTGTTGCGGGTAATTTTCTCCAATGCTAAAACCCATAAGATTTAACCCAGATTTAGGGTGAAATTTGTTGCGTGTTATGTTAACACCAATTCTAGTGTTAAAATAACACTTTGTTTTTCCTGTGAATATTGTGATATTCCTGGAAGATTCCTAATATTTCAATGGGAATATGAATGGAATATTTCGTGCAATATATATTTTTTTTATATAAAATATGCATTTGTGTATGTATATATATATAGTAGACAAATAATCGTATATCTAGGGTGTGATGATGATAGGAAGGGGTATGGAAGGCTAGGTAGAGGGGGTAAATTTACCATATTCTTGTATGTGTATGTGTGTCGTCAGATAATAGTTTCACGAAACGCGCGTCGAGTTGTGCCGAAGCATTTCGAGACTTGGACATAGATATGCGCCCGTTTGAGGCAGCGAGTGGGTGTCCTGCATAGTTTGCTACCTCGGCAGAATTCCGAGATTATAGTCGAGAAGGCTGGGCACATGTATGTTAACCATATTGCCCCAACCCCCCCGACTTCCTTGTACCCTACATGTCGTGGATTTTAAACATTCTATAATCCCCTTCATGTCGTATAGTTTCATTTTTACTCGGAATTTTGCATTATTTGCAAAAAAAAAAAATTTTTTTTCGTTATAACTATTTTGCTTTACATGCAAAATAAAAATAATAATAATAATAAATAACAATAATTAATCAAAAAATATTTTGGAATATTATAGGGATACTTCGATGAATATTTTAGGAATACTTAAAGGAATTCTTTAAGATTACTTCAATAAATAATAAGGGAATATTTTAGAAATACTTTAAGTAATATTTTTGTAATATTATAGGAATACTTTAGGAATATTTTAGGAATACTTTAAGGAATACTTTAGGAATATGTTAGGAATACTTTAAGGAATACTTTGGGAATATTTTAGGAATACTTCAATGAATATTTTTGGAATACTATAGGAATACTTCAATGAATATTAAAAGGAATATTTTGGGAATATTTTAGGAATGCTTTAACAAATATTTTTGGAATATTATTTTTTTTTTTAATAAATATTTTTTTTGAATTGCAATATTATTTAGTCGTTATACATACATAGATAGTATTACATATTTTAGAAGCGATAAAATCATAAACTATTCTCGAGAACATGAAACTTTACTTCTATTAACTTCTAACCAATTGATGGGATGTGGCAAACGGAAATACTAAGCGGTCATTGTTTCTGTCACATATGGAACATGTGCCGATTTTAGTCAAATCTAGTCGCTCGTAATACTCGTCGTGTATAGTATATTCAGCCATTTATAGTATATATATATGTGTATATAACATGCGCGCACAGAATTTCGGATCTGTTCCTCTTCCTGGTTCCATAGAGTAGAGAGCGAGAGAGAGAGAGAGAATGGCACAGCATATGCGAGAAGCGAGGCGGAGATTTCGCGGTATTTCCGACAAATTCGATGTTGCACGATGTTTTGGGAGTATACGAGGGAGAGAGAGAGAGAGAGAGAAATTCGAAATGGTATATATATGGATCGGTGAGTACTGTTCGTAAAACGGAGTTTCGCGTGTAGACATGTAGACATGCTTGGACATCGCACCGCACACGATATAGGGGAATGTAATCCGAGAGGGATCAACAGAGAGAGAGAGAGAGAGAGACAGAGAGAAAGCAAAATGGATGAATGGATGGATGCGTTATTTCGTGATTTATCTTTGACTTGATTATTTGACGGGTATACGACACAATGTCAAGCTTCTCTCGTGTCTCTTCAATAATATGCGACACATTAAACCAGGTCAATACGGGAAAGCATTGGAGTATTACAGGATTATTGAGATTTCAAGTTTATTTAGACTCCATTAACAAAATGTTGATAACACTTTAATCTAAAATGTCGTTCTTTAAACTTCCTGTTTTTAGAAAAAAAAATCTCATTCTTATTCGAATTATTACACTATACTAAGAAAAAAAATCCTACAGTATTCCAAAAGAAATTCCTATTGTATTCCAAAAAATATTCCAAAAATCCTACAATGTTCCACAAGATAATTCCAAAGAAAATTCCTACGGTATTCCAAAAAATTTTCCAAGAATCCTACAAAATATTACAACAACTAATTCAAATAACTGATTCCCAAGAATCATTCTACAATATTCCAAAAGACAATGCCAAAGAAAATTCTTAAGCTATTCCAATAAATATTTCAAAAATTCTACAATATTTCAAAAACTATTACAAAGAAAAATCCTAAAATATTCAATAGGATAATTCTCACGATCCTCCAAAAAACTAATTCAAAGAAGAATCCTACAATTTTAAGATGATGAAATTGAGATGTCAATTGAGAGAAAGGGAGATATGTAGCAAACAATCAGTTCTTAGTCATTGCATATAATAAGATAAGAAACACCTCTCTTGAATATATCATAAATTAGCTTTACACTATGGGATTTATACGAGAAATTAAGCGACCTTTAGAGATAGTGACTTCATGCATGAAGAATAGACAATCTCAGTATATAACTGAATGTAATCCATTTGTATGCTATCGGACTCTACATTGAACCCCAAAAGCACAACGATTCAGAAATGCGGTGGATATGTCTGGATTAATGTCCGAATGCCCAAGTTAATTAGCGCTTTGGCTTAGCTCGAAATAACCGGGCACGTGCCAAGCCAGGGACTCGTTTGCTTTCGTACGTGATCACGAAACAAGCCACACACATCAATATATATACATATATATATATATATATATATATATACAACATTCGAGCTCATCGGTAAAGGGAGAAGATCGAGGGAAGGGGAAGTGAATTCGAATATATATTGTTCATCGAACACGCAGAGGGCTTACAAACATGTACTTTGAACGCATGTAATGACACGCTTCGCACGCATTTACTTACACTTATGCACTTAAAGCCCGGATCTTTGAATCCAGAAATTCGATTTAACCCCCTAAATGTATGGGGGTCGATTCACTCTATTTCAACGTAATA